GCCCGTGACTGCCCGTGACTCTCCGCGACTGCTCGTGACTGCCCGTGACTGCCCGTGACTCTTCGTGAATTTTTGTGAATGCTCGGGAATGCTCGGGACTGCACGGAACTGCACGGAACTGAACGGGACTGCACGGGACTGCACGCGACTGCACGCGACTGCCCTTGACTGTCCGTGACTCTCCGCGACTGCTCGTGATTGCCCGTGACTGCCCGTGACTGCCCGTGACTCTCCGCGACTGCTCGCGACTACACGTGACTGCTTGTGACTCTTCGTGAATACTCGTGAATGCTCGGGAATGCTCGGGACTGCACGGGACTGCACAGGACTGCAGGGGACTGCACGGGACTGCACGGGACTGCACGGGACTGCACGGGGCTGCACGGGACTGCACGGGGCTGCACGGGACTGCACGGGACTGCTCGTGACTGCCCGTGACTGCCCGTGACTGCTCGTGACTGCCCGTGACTGCCCGTGACTGCCCGTGACTGCCCGTGACTGCTCGTGACTGCTCGTGACTGCTCGTGACTGCTGGTGAGTGCTGGTGTGTGCTGGTGAGTGCTGGTGAGTGCGGGTGAGTGCGGGTGAGTACCGGTGAGTGCCGGTGAGTGCCGGTGAGTGCCGGTGAGTGCCGGTGAGTGCCGGTGAGTGCCGATGGGTGCTGGTGAGTGCTGGTGAATGTTGGCGAGTGCAAGGGACTACTCGCCACTGCTCGCGACTGTCCGCGATTGCCCGTGACTGCCCGTGTCTGCTCGTGACTGCTGGTGAGTACTGGTGAGTGCTGGTGAGTGCTCGTGAGTGCTCGTGAGTGCTCGTGAGTGCTCGTGAGTGCACGGGACTACGCGGGACTCCACGAGACTCCACGAGACTCCGCGGGACTCCACGGGACTACACGGGACTACACGGGACTACACGGAACTCCGCGGGACTCCACGGAACTCCGCGGGACTCCACGGGACTCCGCGGGACTGTTCGTGACACATTATGACTGTTTATGACTGTTTATGACTGATTATGACTGCTCGTGATTGCTCGTGGCTGATTATGACTACACATGACTGCATGTGTCTGCTTGTGACTGTACGAAAGTGCCCGAGAATGCACTATAATGCTCGTGACTGTTCGTGACTGATTATCACTGCTCGCAACTGCTTGCAACTGCTCGGACTGCTCGCGACTGCTCGCGATTGCTCGTGACTGCTCGTGACTGCTCGCGACTGCTCGTGACTGATTATGACTACACGTGGCAGATCGTGACTGCTGGTGAGAGCTGGTGAGTGCCGGTGAGTGCTGGTGAGTGTTAGTGAGTGCTGGTGAATACTGGTGAGTACTGGTGAGTGCTGGTGAGAGCTGGTGCGTGCTGGAGACTCCACGGGACTGCACGGGACTGCACGGGACTGCAAGGGACTGCACGGGACTGCACGGGACTGCCCGTGACTGCCCGTGACTGCCCGTGACTAGACGTGACTGCATGTGACTGTATGTGACTGTATGTGACTGTATGTGACTGTATGTGACTGCATGTGACTGCATGTGACTGATTATGACTACGCGTGACTCCATGTGACTGCATGTGACTATGTGACTGTATGTGACTGCATGTGACTGCATGTAACTGCATGTGACTGTACAAAAATGCACGAGAATGCACTTGAATGCACTAGAATGCACTTGAATGGACTAGAATGTACTAGAATGTACTAGAATGCACGAGACTGCTTGTGACTGCTCGTGACTGCTCGTGACTGATTATGACTGCTCGTGATTGCTCGTAATTGCTCGTGGCTGCATGTGATTGCATGTGACTGTACGAAAATGCACGAGAATGCACTTGAATGCACTATAATGCACTAGAATGTACTAGAATGCACGAGACTGCTCGTGACTGCTCGTGACTGCTTCAGACTACACGTGACTGCTTGGGACTACACGTGTCTGCTTGGGTGTGCTCGGGACTGTACTAATCCTTTTTAGTCGACTATTTTATTCGAATAATGATTGTTCATTAGTCGTTATAAATTTCTCTATCTAGTTATACGTATAAAGTATTATTCGAATAATTTCGAATAGTTCAGATCATTTATTCGTATAAAGATTGTAAATTTATTCGTAGAAAAATTGTCAAATTGTTCTAATGGTTTATTCGAATAAGGATTGTATAATTATTCGAATAATAATGTGAATAACCTTTTACTGTTCCTGTAAGAAATTTGATCATTATGAAGAAATGCTAATGAAACGGGCGATTCGATGTCCATTTGAAAGATAAACGCGTCGGAAAATTGTTCGGTCCCGCGGGGTAGCTAAACGAACGAGATTCCCTCGGTGAATAGTAAATCGGGGGACCGGTGTCCCGGTGAAGGAGAGGAGGAAAAAGGAGAAGGACGCAAACCGACCATAAATTGCTCGTGTCGAATTAATATCCCACGCTTTACGCGCAATCGTGCGAGCTAAACGCGGACGCAGACCGCAAGCAAAGTGACCGCTCGAAAAACCCGTTTGGTCCGCGTGATTTACGCGCATGAATAAAGTCACCTGCCCGGCAGGTACGTTTGTCACGGGAGCCACGCGGGGAACAGGTTCATTCGAGACCGCTTGTTCGCACCTGTTCCTCATAATTCCAGTAACTTACCGTTTCGCCAAGGGAGCACCGTAGATCAGGATGACGATCCTTGTCGATCCTTGTCGATCTTTGTTGATCCTTGCTGGACATCCTGTATCCTGAAACTGGTAGCACGTTGCTACAACGGGATCTTCACTAGTATTGCCGTTTAAAATGATTCTTTATTCACACATCATTCGCGACAAGCAGTGTTAGTACTGATATTACAATGTCGATGTTAATACTGATATCTACATTGGCTGATCATGAGTGGCGCATTCTACGTGACGCTAAATTTGTCATGCAGTAACGGTACCATTGTAACCGGCGTGCATTGTTTCATAAAAATGAGATGATCGAATTTAATTAGATTTTGTAAAGTATTTATTATAAAACTTTCTCCAACAATTTATTCGGAAAATTTCCGTGAAAGAGTCTCTGAAGCTTGCTGGATTGCAAAATAAAAGAACGGTCATATTTTGACCGTGGTAGATTAAAATTACAATTATAAAATTATTCTAATAAAAAAATTGGAATATCTTATATTCGAATAAGATTATTATTATTGTATGATGTTTTTCGTAGGAGATGGTGTGACATGATGACAAATGACAATTCTGAACGTTGTTCAGCTATTTTTTGAAACATCTTTTCGAAGGTATTTCTTGCAGTCTGAAAGTCTCTCCGTTGTCCCTAATGCAACAGCAATTTATTTGATTTAATTCCCGGACAATTCCCCGATTTCAATACCCTGGATCAACGTTGACCCAGGCGACGCCTCGCCAGGATTAATCTAACCGCTCTTTTAGCCACGATATGACGGAAGCATCTCGTTCTTCTTAATCAAATTGGTTAATCACGATGTGTAATTCTTACATCAGAAATCGGTGTAAATTGAATTTCTCATTTAGCTTCGAATTCGTTGTTGATTTCGTTGACGTTCGTTTTCGAGTTACGTGAATCTGTTTCTACCGGTAATGAAAAATCGATCTGCAAAGGATTAACAGATTTCGGAATCAAACAGTCAGGACACCGCGCTGACAGTCGCTGGCATAGAGCTGTTATCGCATAGCCTGTTGTCGCTAAGCCGAGGAATGATCGAGGCCTTTTATCGCCGGCAATCGAGTTCCCTTATTTTTCTCTCTGGTCGTTTATTTGCGTTCCCCGTATCGTTCTCGGAAGTGGAGAGCTCCATTCTCGCCTCCGGGATCCTTGGACGTCGTTTTCCACCAAGCAACGGTGTAAATAGGAACGGATTGCGGTCAGGACGTCGTTACGAGGCCACTGATAAGTGTCATTGTCCCAGCTCCGGCGGCGTTCTTTTGCGGTCGTCTATCAGCTTCCGGAATATACGGCTGATCACCGTGGTACACGATCGCGTGTCGCCTCGGGATCGTTTAAACAACGACGACGAATTTACAAACAATAAGCCATTATCGTCGGGCCGACGGCAACCGGTCGACGAAATCTTGTCGCGGAAACGTCTCGCGGACGTTCATGGATATTCAGGTTTTCGGTGGACTAATTATCTGGAATTCGTTAGCTCTGAGAATCGGTCGATCGCGGGGACACGATAGAAGTAATTGTTTCTCGAGTCGACAGTTTGTGGAACTAGGTTAGACGTGCGAATTTTGAAGGGTCCGAGACATCCGAGAGCAAAGAGATCCTCGGCCTTCAGCCGTTTGCAATCGAAGCTATCTTACTTCGAAATACAGAACATATTTTCTAAGCTGTATGCGAAATTTAGCCTACTAACAAGTACAGTACTTGCAGTTTTAACAATTTTTTTTTTTTTAATATAAATCAATTTAATGATATAAGAAAAAATGGTATAGCAATTTTTGATGGCTCCTCGTCTCGCGAGGACCAAACTTTTTATACAAACTTTTATTTTTGTTTTGCAGAGTGATAAGTAGACTGCGGATCTTTATGCGAAATAGAAATTTTTGAAGAAAAGTGTAAGAAAAGTGTAATATTGATAAGTTAAAAGTAGCCTGATAGAATTATGAAGTTCTTCTTTTATCTTCACAATTTTAAGTATATTTCAGCCACTGATTTTTCCTATAAACGCATAAAATCCGCAGTCTAGTGAAATGGCGTACAGCATCAGTTGAAGGTTAACTTCGCAAGATCTTGAGAGCTGTTAATGAAATTGATAAATTGATCGTTAGCATTTTAACAACCGCTTGATCTTTCGAAGTTAACCGATGCCTAATTGACGCTCAGATTGTGCACAAGAATGGACAAATTGGAAAGAAGACGATACGATTATTTGTGAGCCTAGTGGGGCTCGTTTTTATATTTGTTGACGATATAACAATAATCGTATCTCTTCCGAAGTTGTCCATTTTTGTGCACAATTTGAGCGCTAATTAAAGCGTGCTTTAATTTTTTTTAGTCACTGTCAACGCTGGTCCCAACCAGGAGAACGACAACGAGGCTCAAGCAGATGCCGCATCGCCACCTTCTAACGTAAGTCACCTTACAGGTTAATTTATTTAAATTGATAGAAACGATTTGTTCCTTTTATACTGTTTTCCTTTTTCCTCTCTTACGTTAACATTGTTGTAGTAGATAATATTTAACTGACATTATAATCTATCACATTTATCCTTTGTACCTTGCTTTTTCGGAGCTTCATGTCGCATCGACTTCGAGGTCATTAGCGACTCCTGCTGCGGGTTATATCCTTTCAATCAGTTTGTTGTTGTCCGTTACTGTAAAGTGTTCTTCATGTATTAAGGCTGAGGTTAAGTTTTCTTTACTTATAATATGATAAATTAACATTTTCTTGATATCTTAAGTCTTAACTTATCATCTGCAGTACAAAGTAATAAAATGCTGTTTCTTATATTCGATCCATTAATAATACTAGAAAAATATAATCTTTGTCTATTGTGTACAGTCTTTTAGCTCAATTCTAGTTTCAGTCTTTTTCTGATTTTCCTGTTATATTACAGTCTTGACATAGTTCGTCCTTTCTCGTCCTTATCGAGTATTCGGGAAGGGTATTTCTTATTTAACTCTATTTGTTCCTGCGTCAATATTCATAAATAATATATAATAACAATATTAATAAAATAAATAAAATAATATAATAATGATATTCATAAAAATAATATATCAGCCTCTCTTACTTTTACTTCGTACCCCCTGTAATCCTACTCCTTCGTCTTGGATACAAATAGGAACATCCTTCGGGATGCTAGTTATCTTTAGCATCTTTCCACCGTAAGTTACCTTCCTTTCGATAGTAGTATTCATTATATTATACATATATATATATATCGGTCTCTCCCGACGTCGTCAGAAACGAAAATGTACCATCAGTTCCTGATCTTCGATACGTAACCCGTCGCAGCGATAAAAGGGCGCTATGTAGATGCTAATCATAATAGCTGTGCGATCCACTATAATCACTTCAAGCTAATAATATGTATCTGGGTTACGACACCGGGGTACCTGTGATCATTCGATCGGGAAACAGTCCTAAACACTTATCGTGTCCTCTTTCGCAACTTCGCCCGAAAAACCGTGGCAACTGTAGCTCGTTCCAAGGATCAATAGTTTGGACACTGATAAGCCGACAGGAGTAGCGTGCCTCGGTGTCGTTGAACTCGTCTTTGAACTTGGATCGAATCGATATCTTTAGAAAAAAGCGTTTAGAAGGATTACAGTAACCCCGATTCCCGTGGTTTCTTTTCTGACGGTCGTCGATGACTTTTCTACGGATATGGGATGCAAACTTGGACCCAGAAATATACAATGATGTGCATCCGCTATCGTAATTAGACTCTTTAGATTAGTATGAACAAATTCCTCCACTTCCTCTTCTATTCCTCCCTCGAAATTGTTGTATTGTATTAGGTCATTAAGTCGTGAAATAATTTTACAGTTAAATTTGTTATTATGATTTGTTATAAAACATTGTTATAAATATAGCTTCATAATTAGATCATGTATCGTTCTATAACAACGACGAATTTATTCAACACTTCGTACGATTTTTATTATAATATACAGTGACTACCATTAATATTTGGACACTTTTTGAAACGAGATAACATTTTGAAAACTAGAGTAAATAATTTGAATTTTTTTTAGATGATAGAGGGGCTAGTATACTAGACAATGACTAAACTATTTTGTTACAATCCTGCTACTACTTGGAATGAGAAAACAATATACCGAGATCCACAAAACAGATTTTAAAAATTTTCGTTATGAGCTCAGATAAAGAAGTTAAACAGCGAGAGTTTTTTCATTTTCTTTTGTCATTCTAGCCAATAGAAAAATTTAAAAAAAAAATCCATCCTAGTTATGGTCTAGTAGATTGGTCTAAAAAAATCAAGTCGTTTAGTCCAATTCTAAAAAAGTTATTGCGTTTTGAAAATTGTCCCAATATTAATGGGAATCACTGTACGTATGTGCTTATAATACCAATGTGGGCGGTCCGGAAAGATGGGAGGAGTGGTCCCGCTAGAGGAATCATTCTAGCAAGCCCTGCCTTACAATTAGATGAGGGGATATTGGAAGAACGATTGAAGACAGTATAGAAGCAAAAGCTCTCCCCAGCTTGTAAACAAAAATGAACAATTTCGGAGGAGGAGATACGATTATTCGAGTCTCGCGACTCGTTTTTATAGGTATTGACAGTCGGCGACTATAAAAACGTGTCGTGAGTTCACGTTCAATTTCTAATCCTCGATTCTGAACGGTTCCGTGATCAAAAGAATCTGTCTTCGGCTTCTGGAACACACAGTTTAACTAGCTGCTTACTTTGAAATTTTAGGTGGATCTGCCAGAAAGCGCGCACCCCTGTCCCGCGTGTCCAACTGTGCTGTCCAGCTTGCACGAGCTGACGAACCACCTGCGCGGCCACAACTCTCCCCGTAGCACGGACTGCAGCAGCGAGGACGACTATTGTTGCGGGGTTTGTAACAAGGTGCTGAGCTCAGCGAGCTCATTGCATAGGCACGTGCTGGTGCACTCGCGCGAGCGTCCATTCAAATGCAAGCATTGCGATATTGCATTCACCACGAACGGTAACATGAACAGGCATCAGAGGACAGCGCACAGATCGACAACACCACATAGATCAACGCCATCACACAGGTCAACGCCACCACACAGTTGCACGGACTCGGAGGGTAGCAGCGATTCGGACAAGCTATCGAAGCGCCCGGATATCGAGGAATATAACAACAACGAGATCGCGAAACGGAACTCGCCGGATTTCATCGACCGACAGGAGAAATCGCCGAACCTGAAACGGAAGGCATTGGACAACCCGAACGACGAGGAGAATTGCAAGAGGCACAAAACTCTGCTGAATAACGTCCGAGCAGAGATCAAGACGAGGCCGGAGGACAACCCGACTGTCTTCAACTGCCCTGTGTGCGATAGACAGGACTTCGCAACCACCGCACTACTAGAGGCTCATCTGGAGCGCAATCATCCTAGCTACGAGGCGAAATGCGAATCCTGCAACCTGTCCTTCAAAAGCCACCGTGTGTTGAATCTCCACCGATTCATGATCCACTTCATGGAGTACTCGATGAGCACCGCCAGCCATAAGTCAGTAATCGGTTTCAACGATCTGACCTTCGTGGATTTTTCCTCAGGCAAGTTTACTGCAATTGCACGAGCCGTCTGCGAACAGTCAGTTCATGTGCCTGCTTCCGGCGAGAAGGCAACATTCCAATGTACTAAGTGTCTTCGAGCATTCCCTTGTAGAACGGCGGTAGACGAACACGAGATCGACTGTGGCACGGCGGCTAACGAACACGAGATCGACTGCGACACGGTGAGCTCCCAGGCCAGGGTGATCGACGACATCCAGTCGAAGAGGGACGACTTCTTCGCTGGCCTCGACCTGCAGAACAAGGCTGCTATGACCGAAGCCAAGGAAGGCAAAGATCTGGCCGACATCCAGAGCATCATCTCAGTCACATCCGGGCCGATTCTGCAGAATTTTCCAAGGTCAGACGCGAGTACTCCTGAAAACAACATCAAGTTTAATCTGAGCGTCAGCTCGTCCGGTTCATCCGGCACGTTCTCTTCGGAGTGTAACGAGGAGGAGTTGCAGGACGCTTTCGCGGCTGAATTTAGAAAGATGAAGCTGAAAGGCGAATTCCCGTGCCGTCTTTGCACCGCAATATTCCCAAATTTGAGAGCGCTGAAGGGCCACAACAGGGCGCATATGGGCGTCGGTCCAGGTATGCCTTATCCGTGCAATATGTGCGCTTACACCAGCACCGACAAGGCCACCGTGGTGAGACACTTGAGAACCCACAACGGGGACAGGCCGTACGAGTGCTCGTTGTGCAACTACGCGTTCACGACCAAGGCGAACTGCGAGCGGCACGTGAGGAACAGACACGGTAAGCTCAACCGAGAGGACATCAAGAACGTGCTGATCTACCACCCGAGCGAGGACTCGACCACGGACAACGTGGGTCGAAACTCGCCCAGGGTGATCAAAGAGGACTTGAGGAAAGGTTTGATGTATACTACCGATGAGCTGCATCATCAGACGCAGATGCATTATCCGTCGGTGCCGATGGAGGGCCGCGGCGAAATCCGAATAATCGAGGAGGCGAAGCTGCATAACTCGTTGTCCTTGCACAGCGACTACGAGAAGGCCGTAAGCTTCCCGATGTCGGGTCAGCAGGCAATCGAGTTAACGCAGAACGTGGACGAGAGAAAATCCGGGGACATCAAGCAGCAGGACTACACGAAGCTCGAGGAGGACCTTGAGTCGAGATCATCGGAGGGTTGTATATCACTAGTCAGCGATACCAAATCCGATTCGTACCAAAGAATACAAGCTAGTCCGATAAACCTGAAGAAGCGTCTGGCGGTGTCGGAGGCGGGAGGCGAGGACGGTCCTCTGGATCTGTCGATGGACGTTCTGGATCTCAGCAAGAAAAAGCGCAAACAGGACGGAAACTGCTCGGCCACGCAGGATCGGTACGAAAAGGAGGCAAATCAGCAGATCCAGCAACAGATGATACTGACCGAAATTCTACTGAAGTCTGACCAGGTGCGTAACGCGGCGGGGAAGGGGGTCTACCCCAACACTCCCCTGTTCTATCGCACGTACCCTGACAACTCAAGTCAGAGGATACTGCCGCCGTTTTTTTTCACACCACACGTGTTCGGACAGGAATTAGCGTTGAAGGAGAGGCTCCATAAGGAATTGGTCAGAGGCTTGCAATTGACCAGCGGTGGGACTTTGGTGGAGCCAACGATCGGGACCGCCGGGTTCAACGCTTATCCGCAAGGCAAGAACGCGGTCTCGCAATCTGCGAACGATCAGACCGACTACACGAAGCTGATCCCATCGAAGCTGACGAACAAGGCGTTGACCGGCAGGAACAAGCCCGACAACCGCATACCGTCGGCAAACCCGATGAAGATGGTGATCAAGAACGGCGTGCTGATGCCGAAACAGAAGCAGAGACGGTACAGAACCGAGAGACCATTCGGTTGCGAGCACTGCTCGGCGAGATTCACCTTGAGAAGCAATATGGAACGACATATCAAGCAACAGCATCCGCAGTACTGGAGCCAGAGACCCAGAGGAGGACACTCGACCAGAGGCAGACCGCCCGCGAGTCATCCCACCTTGCTTCAGAATCTGGAGCAAACTGCGTCCCGAGTGACGCAGTCGTACCCTAATATTCTGCCTAAAGCGGTGCCGAGCGCAGAGTACTCTGCAAAACACCCTATTTCGGACCAAGTGAAGTACGCCATCCTGGCGCAACAGTTGAAGGCCAGCAAGGTCGCGGAGAACGACTCCGAGGAGGAGCTGGTAATCGACGAAGAACGACAAGAGAAGGAGCAAGAGCCACAGAAGGAGAAATGCACTAGCTTGCTGAGAGATCAGTTGGAGGGCTTGGAAGCCGCGAAAGAGATGGAAGTGGAGCCCGAGGAGTGTGCGAAAGGAGAGTCGACCAACACCGAGTCGGCGAACAGCGAGAATGCAAATGATGAATCAAAGATTTCGGACTTGGAACAGTCGATGGAAGCTAGCGAGCAAGACAATATTAAGACGACGTTCAAGGCCGACTCGGTGGATGAGAAGGCGGAGAAGATGGAAGACCTGGCTAGCGTGCCGGATCTGTTGAAGAATGCCAAACAGCAATTACCGCCGTTTCAACCGCAGTATCTGAGCGACGAGGAGGGCCTGGTCGCGTCGAACAGCGGCAGTAGCAACTCCGGCAGCGACGAGAAGTCGGATTCCGTGAACTCGTTGAATTCTGTCAGCACATCACCAAAAAAAAAGAAGAAAATGAAGAAAAAGAAGTCCGCGTACTCCATGGCGCCGAACCGAGTTATTTGTCCCTTCTGCGAGCGGGCATTCCCGTGGACGTCTTCTTTAAGGCGACACATCCTGACGCACACGGGCCAGAAACCCTACCAATGTGTGCATTGTTCCCTCCTTTTCACCACTAAATCAAATTGTGATCGCCATCTGTTGAGGAAACACAAGACGAACCCCAACAAGATACGCAGGGTCAGGAACTCCTCTTCGCCGGACAGCCAGGCGGTCATCAACAACAACAATTCGTTCTCAATGAGAAACGTGCCCGAACGGCCTTATAAATGCAATTTATGTCCTAGCTCAACCTTTTCAACCTTGGGCAATTTGAAGAAGCACCGCTCGACGAAGCACGCTCGCAAGCTGAAGTCTAGATCCGACACTCCGTCCAGCGAACCTCAAAACAGTCCTCAAGAATGCTCGAAGCAGAACGAACAGACTGATGACGACAGCCAATCGTCGAGCGTCTCCGAGAGCATGGACACCACGCCGGTGTCCGGAGTATCCAAAACGAATGTGAACACCTCGCCGACCATCAACGAAACGCCCAGATCCCGAAGACCTTCTCCGAGGTCGTCGCCTGGTCCCAGCGATGTACCCTTCAAGTGCCACCTGTGCGACTGCGGCTTCTCCGAGAGGCAAGATTGCTTGGAGCACATCAAGATGAAGCATAAGAAATCGTACGCGGTGCTGATGGCGAAGGGTGCACTGGATATGGACATTGATACCGTTGAAGATCATCAACAGCCGCCGCCGCAACACCACCCCAGCGACGGCGAAGAGAAGAGAGGCCGCTTCCCGGACTACAGCAATAGAAAGGTAGGTATCGAGTTGTTGATGAGATTTGCTGACCATGGTGGTCCGAAATCGTCAGAGCGAAACCTGTCATAAGCTGTTCCATGAGAACATTTAACATTAAACCTATCAAGCAGCAATGGTAACTGGTGTCCATTGCTTCATAAAAGAGAGGTAGCTAGAATTTATTTAGATTTTGTAAAGTTTTCATCACAAAACTTGCTCCGATAATGTAATTTATTCAAACATTTTCCATGAAAGAGTCTTTAAAGCTTGCTGCAGAATTGTAAAACAAGGAAACCGTCATTGTGACAGCGATAGGTTCAGTGTTAATGAATTCGAAATTGTTCTTGCATTACGTACAACCCGTTACAATTAACCCTTTGTACTGACTCTGTTATATCACGATCATTTTTACATTATCAAATTTGTTTCAACTGAAAAAACTATTATATGAGTCACGGGACTCAATTTCATATGCACATAAAATACAGGAACAATAAGTTATATGAAATACAGATACTTCAGATCGGAAAAATTGTTTTAAATTAACTAGAATTTAAAATGGCTTCAAGTACAAAGGGGTTAATTCCTATTTGTAGCTTTCGCGTCTGGCAATCGACGCGGACAATGTTCATTTCGCAAAGAAAATCCGTACAGTTTAGTCATTACGGTTTCGGACAACCTGTCGATATCCGGCAGGTGTGTCTAAGCGACGTGTTTGTTCTGTGATAGATATGCGATTGCCGCGACAACCCGGCGTGATCCAAACGAGTTGGTTTTTCGAACATTTCCAGGTTGTCTGCGCCTTCTGTATGAGACGATTCTGGTCAGCGGAGGACTTGCGCCGGCACATGAGGACGCACACGGGCGAGAGACCGTTCTCCTGTGACATCTGCTGCCGGAGGTTCACGTTGAAGCACAGCATGCTGCGGCACCGGAAGAAGCACGAGTCGGTGGACTCCCCCATGTACGTGGGGACCAGCGGCGACGAGGAAAACTCGCCCACTCAGCCACCCACCATTACACCTAGGACTGAACAGCAACAAAAATCACCTGTTCTGGTAACTGGCAACACGGGCAGTTCTAGGATACAGGAACGAATCTCGCTTCCTAACGTGGCCCCCGTTGCCACGGGGGACGCGGCGCCCAGCGGACTCGTACGATTCCACCCTTACAGGAACTTGGCGTCCCTAACGAGGAAAGTGAACACCGCCCCGCAAAACACGAACCTGGATGCCGGCGAGAGCACGGATAACGATCTGATCTCAAACCTCCTGGGCATCCCGGATAAGAATTTCATCGACCGAGTGCTTCAAGCGTCCGCAGATGACGCCGCCAAACTTCTCGGTGTGAAGCACAGCCATGAGTGAAATCGCGATCCCTGTCACCTGGACAATTCACGATCGTGCCTTAGATTGTTGCCCTCCACGCAAGGGTGGCTTTGGTACAGTTGACAGCGCTGGTTCTCTAGCCCCTGCGAATTTTAAAAACGATGCATTGACACGTTATCGTTGGTAAAAAGCCGTTGAGATCTTACGATCTATGGCTAGTGATGCTATCGCACGATTGGTGGCGCTCAGATTACGATCTCGATACTAATTATACACACAAACCAGTGCCGTTAATTGTACCAAAGGATGGAAGCGTGAACGCGCGTTACTTCGATGAGTCTTAGAAACTTTTAGACAGAACAGATATGTGCCTAGAAGTTTCTAAGACTCGTCGAAGTAACGCACTTCCGTCCTTTGGTACAGTTAACACAGCAAGTAGTACTTTTTGTTGTTATCGTTCGGGTTTTCGCGGTGGTGGGATTCGAAGATCGGGAACTGGTTAGCACCCTGCCGCTTCATCTCCGAAGATATGCATAAGACATTCCTAACAATATTCTTCTGTTTCAATTAAAATTTGAATAGCATTGTTCAGTTGTTAGTCGTTGTAGATTCGGTTTAGATTGGCGTGAATCTTTCGTTGCTTGTCCAAGTTATGTCCACTGGGCATTAAAAACCGTCTGAATCCCACCACTGGCTTCAGGTCACGGTGAAAGTACCATCCTCTAATCTCAGCTCTTCCTTAATCCTTAATCCGAAAATAACCCTGTTCGACCAACTTTAATTTCCGCCTCTCAGCGGGGAATAACCTTCCGATGGTGCTTTCAGACGATGATAAAAACGCCGGCATCGATAAGAGTGAAAAGTACATCATCCTATTTGAAATAATTAAAATAATGAAACAGCGGGAAAGATCTCGTCGGGTTTCACCGTGGAAAGAGGAGAAAACGATCGATTTCGTAATCGCAGCGCCACCAATCGTGCGATAGCGTCACTACCTATAGATCGTAGGATCTCAATGGCTTTTCTCCAACGATAATGTGTCTACACATCGTTTTCGAAAGCCGCGGGAGTTTCGAAACGCGGTTAGTGTGTAATTACATCTCTCTCTCTCTGTCCCTCTCTCTCTCTCTCTTTCTATATCTATCTATCTATCTCCATCTATCTATCTATCTATCTATCTATCTATCTATCTTTCTCTATCTGTATTATGTACATATCAATATTTCTGCACGTGTAAGTGATATAGAAGAAGCGATGTCGTACGTCAGAAACGACAAGCTATCGTCCAAAGATACGTTGTACGCAACGAATTAATTAAATGTTCTTCTATTTATTGTTTACAATATACTTAGAGTCGGGACTGGAGAGGATATCTCTTCCACGTAGGAGGGAGCATCTCTCCCACGTAGGAGAGAACGTTAGTCTCGATGTTAATTCGAAAAATATAGAAGTATAAATACATATAAATATATACATATGTAATAATCTACTTCTATTCTGTCGCGTACAGATCTACTTGTATATAGATAGCTTAATTCATAATTTTTTGTAGGTGTATATTTCGCATCGTGGATAGTTAACATGAATGAGTTCTTCGCGGAGGAAACGATATTTAAAAGCCATTATACCAAATAGTCGAGTCACGGTTCGCTGGCAGATAACTTTTACGGATCGAACCGAGCCGATAAAACATTTGTATTTCCTAGTTACATACCTTCCTTTTCTTTTTTTACCCACCGCCTCTATTCCCTTCAGTTTTCGTGCAATCTCTCTTCTTCGTTCACACCGTGCAGCCCTTTTGCATTTCATACAAGTAAACAAAGTTACTACTGCTTCGACCAATGAGGACCCGTGGCACTGAAGCCAGAACTATAATGTGACTAGACGAGCGAGATAATTGCCACCGTAATGTTAAGGTTAAGCGTTGTTCTAGGATTATGTATGAACAATTGGGTGTATCGATTTCTGTACAATTTATGCAAACCTTTAGAAAATGTTCGAGAAACAAAATTCGACGATTGTGCTTCAATAGTTGGTTCTTCGAAGACTTTTAAAAGTACTAGTATATTTTCTCTATTTAACCAGTGAGTTTAGTGCAATTTTGAATGTGTTTTTCTATGATCACAAAAATATTATTAATTAAAAATTCTAATTAAAAATTCGTACTTGCCATTCCGGTGATTTATTTGATTTGAATTGAATTAATCGTATTGAATTGAATCTGAAATAATAAAAAACGTTATTCTAAATCTTATGAGATGTCGATACATCACAAAATGTTATATGTATATGATGATATAGATCTATTTATTAAATAGGAGAATACGTTCAAATCTTTGAAGTGACAGTTTTTCTTGCTTCAAATTTAACAAATTTAAGCTATAAAATAATTATTGTAGTTCACATGTACATGATTATGTTGTATTCTTGTTTAAACTTTGCCTACGAATAAGAATATACGATATCAAAGACATTAAACGTTGTTCAATCTATTATTACACGAGTAACCGAACCCACTATGTATCATTAAACTTAAACTTCATGCAT